CTGCTCACATTCTGATATGGGCCTGGAACACCTCACCTATCCTCTGACACCATGCCTGGGCGGGGCCTTTCAGTCCTCCTCTCCCCTGGGAGTGGGGTGAGGTGGGAGGGAGATGTGTGTGAATGGCTGAGACTTGGGCTGAAGGCTGGTTTCTCTGGGGATCTCAGACCCTGCGTTCTCAACTCTGACCAAGGAAGCGCTCTTAGACTCATCTCAGCCTGTTCAGCCAAATCCAGGCACAAAAGTGTTTGGTAAATGTTTGCACAAAAGTGTTTGGTAAATAACCGGGTAGACCCAGGATGTCATATGCTGTGGTCCAGTCCACCTGACACAGAACTGGGTATTGTTCCCATGCATTATTTTGTTGACTCCACACCTACAGCTCCTTGGGGTGTCAGGCTGCAGTGAGTACAGGCCATGCCTCTTCCCCAGCAGCGGGGCTAGGACATCAAGGTACAGAGTGTCACATTATCTTCTCTGGGCTCTGGCAGGGCTGGTCTAGCACATGCTGTTGCCCGTGTGGGTCACAGCCTGCTTTCCAGAACCCTAGGACCCTAGGCACTTACTCATGTCCACAGCTACTGGCACATTTAAAAAGAATGAAGTCAGAAGCAAGGGATTAAAGGATTAAGAAATCAAGAGACCCCAGTGGACTGGGTTTAGTCTGGATCTGGTTGTGTGTGCTGGGGCTCCCTCTTTGCCCAGAATTCTTCATCTGAAAAAGAGGAGGACCCTTGTGTTGTGTGGGGTCTCCCTATTCTATTCTGCCACTCTGTGTAGGCAGAGCACACCATGGGGCCACTGTGTGCAGCCCTGATGGCCTTTGTCTCCTTGTGTCTTGTTTGTCGTGGATGGGTATCCACTCCTGGGAGCAGATTCACCTCTCCTGTCTGACTGCTGTGGAAGTGGCCTGTACAACAGTGTCTGGCACAGAGAAGGTGCTCAGTGAGTGGTTGTTGAATGACTATAGGAACTCCGCTACTTGGCCAGGAGGACCCCGTGTGAAAACTCAAGGATGGGAGACTGCTTGTCACCCAGCACCACTGGCATCACTGTCACGCAGCCTGACAGTCAGTGGGTGTCAGTCTCAAGCCCTGGAGTCAAGTGTCATAAAGCAGCCCCCTTGCCATAACTGGGCTCTGTTGAGGGGGACTCTGGGCTTCAGATACTAGCCTCCACACGCTCCCACTTCTCCCTGCCCCCACTCAGTCCCAGTGACCTCCCACCCAAGGGCATTTTAGACCATTTCAGCCTGGGCTCTGAGGCCTCTCCTGGCCTCATCCCCCATCAAGGTGTCTTGCATGGCCCAGGTACCTATTTGAACTTCACAGAGTGGCCGGGATAGCCCCAGAGCCCAGCCTTGGAGGGAACATGAAAGAGGCAGAACCTCAGCATCACCCAGGCAGGCAGTCTGTGGTCTGGGGCTGCCCAGTCCCTGCCAGCAGACAGGGATCTGTGTCTATGCTGGAGGCCGGGAACCAGCTGCAAAACTGGGTCATTCTCCAAGACTGTAGTTAGGTTGGTATCAGACATAAGACACCAGCCACTTGGCTCCAAAGCTTAGAAACAGTGCCTCAGGGAAATGACCAGAGGTGGGGCGGGCATGAGGGGAGGTTGTCCATTTCAGCTGAGTAGCCACAGCCTGAGTCTGGTCCAAACTGTTACTGCTAGTGCTGGGTGATGCTAAGGCTCATCTTGAAGACCAGGGGCTGGAAGGACTGACTCCTAGTCAGCTAGTGTTAGTATTTTCTTCTACACATTTTGTGAAACTTTGAACTTACAAGATCCTGATGCTCTGTCATGCTCATCTTCTCTACTATTGACCAACCAAGACATGATCTCTCTCCTCTCTGACACACAGGGTCTCCGGGGGGGGTGGGGGGGGATTTAGACCTTCTGACCAAATCAGAGCAGGGCAAACCAAGGAGGTAGGCAGGGGTAGAACTCCATTTCCTTTTCCTCTTGCATAGAGAACCCCAAGCAGTAGTCAGTACCATTGTCATTACTGCTGACCAGGTTTGGCCTCAAAGTATGTCTTGGAAGCCTAATGCCCACCAGGAGGCCTAATTATTCCATTTTGCATGCCTATAAACTGATTTGGGGACTAGAAACACTGCCAGAAGACAGGGGAACCAGGGTTTCAACCAATGGGCTTGGGCCAGGAGCCCCTGGTCTTCAAGATGAGCCTTAGCATCACCCAGCCAGGACCAACAGCCAACCAGAAATGAGAGGGCAAGGGCAATGAGCCTGAGGCCCTAGAAACCAGCAATTGAGTTGTGACTCATTCAGGAACAGCTGGAGGAAGGGAACCTGGAGCCAGGTCTCCCTGGTTTCCTACAGCCTTGCAGAAAGGCAAGGCTAGCTGTTTCCCAAGGGAAATCCTGATGGGCAGTAAGAGGGGGCATCTGGGCCCCTCCTCATTTGGGAAGTCCTAAAGGAGAAAGGGCTCAGCTAGGCCCAGAAGTCAGACTGGCGCTAAAGCAGAGATTCCAAGGAGGGGAGGGGAAAAGCAAAAGGGAAGTGGCTGGGTAGAAAGGCACGTGTGGATGAATTTTAATGCAATCAGAAAGCTGTCATAATGCTAATAAAGGAATACATTCAGACGTCAGGAGAGAAGGCGAAGAGGAGCGGAGCCGGCATGTAAATCAGAGCAGGCTCAGAGCTAGCGGAGGAGGTGACTTCTCTTCCCTTCCTCTTCTTTCCTGGGAGAATTTTTAAGCTGATGGGCCAAGGGATGAGCAGGGGTGGGATTTCACTTCTTAGTCTTTCTGGAAACCCCATTTAATGGAGCACTGGGGATGGAGGCAGCACAGGTGACCTGGAGGCAGTTTCTGTGACTCCAGGAAGGTTTCAGAGCTCCTCGTCCACTTCAGTGGAATCTAGTTACTGCTTCCAGGGGCTCAACACAATCTCCTGCTCCCTTCTCTCCTCTGTCTCTGCCTTCTCCTTCTGTCCATTTCTGCTGCTGCTTTTGGTCTTTTCCTACTTCTTTTTCTTCTTTTTGTCTCCACCATTTTCTCTCCTTCTGCACCTAATGCCACTTTTCTCAGCCCATCTCTCCTCACCTTCACTCCTTATCCTTCTCCCTCTTCCCCAACTGCTGCTCCCCAGTCCATCTTGCTCTCCAGATGGGATGGGGTGTGCCCCACCCTTCCATGGGCCAAGAGGAGGTTCCAGCAGAGCAGGACATCTGAAGAGGACTCTGGGGGTGGCTTGTGAAAGAGAACTGAAGCCTGACGGATCTTTCCCTTTGCTCTAGACCCCCGTGATCCCTCAGGGATATGTGAACTTCCCTGACAGCATGGGAGGGTGAGGGAGCTCTCCAGGGCAGTAGGTCCCACCTACTGTGAATACAAAGAGACATGGTCCCCGAGTGCCTTGCATTTACAGGAAATCAGGCAAGACTCTTTGCAATTTGGGGTGTATATCTCAGCAGCTTTGGCTGTATGTGTCAGTCATTCAAGGGTCAACAAACAGCTAGTGATTGCTGAGTGCTGCCACCAGGGGACCCTGTTCCAGTTACTAGGCTGCATAACAATCTAGCCCCAAATTGAATAGTGTGAAACAACCTACTGTTATGCTCGCAGATTCAGCGGGTGAGGAGTGCAGAGTAGCACAGCCAGGTAAGCCTGTCTCTGCTTCAGCGTGTCTGGGGTCCAGCTAGAAGCCTCGATGGTTGGAGGCTGGAGCCCTCTGAGGACTCACTGTTGATGGTGACTCTTCACCGGGTCCTGCATTCCTTCTGTGTGGACTCTGAGGATTCTTCCCAGCATGGTGACTGATTTCTACAAAGCAAGCATCCCCAAAGAAGAGAGCAAAGTGTAAGCCAATCCCTTTTATGACCTAGCTGTAGAAGTCGGCTGACATCATTTTTAAAATTCTTTATTGGTTAGAGCAAGCGTTGATCTGAGTCAAGGGGGAGGGGCCCAAGACAACCCCCTCACCCACTCCCCGTGGGAGGAAGGAAAGTCACATTGAAATCGGCTTGTAGACAGGGAAAGCTTTTCGGAGTCATTTACTGTTGCTGACTATTCACAGCCCATGTGGTTCCTGTCACCCTAAGCACACAGCTGAGTGGTGTCAACAAGCTACTGAAGGGGCTGCCGGGGGAACCTCAGAAATAACTTCCTCAAAGTACACGGGGCTGGATTTTGCACCATGGACAAACAGGAAAGAACAAGAGAGAGGCACGAGGTGGAGGTAGACACGTGTGAGGTGGAGAGGGCACACACTTGTCCTTTCCATACTTCCCCGCTGGGGGCCAATAGCTGCTCCCCCAGAGAGGCTTGGCCTCTTCCCTTGGGGAGCATACATGGGCAGGGAGGAACCAAGACAGAACCAATTACATAAGCAAAGCAGTAAAGAATTGCTCTTTGAATGCTGCATTGGGAGAGAGGGCCTGAGACAGGGAAGTTAAAGGAGGGATCTTGACCTGGAATCATTATCTAAACTGAGATCTAGACCATGAGAAGGGTTCAGCTATGTGGCGTGCAGGGGATGCTAGTCAGGAGAGCAGTATATGCAAAGGCCCTGTGGCAAAATTGCCTATTGAGGGTTAATTTTGGTGTCTGTGGGTTCAGGTAGCTGAGGAAAATATTATGTGTCTAAGAGGAGGGAGGAAGGACCACCTGATCAGCATGCTCCAGGTGGGCAGTGTGCAGACAGGTGGCACTGCTTCCTCAGTGTGCAGTCTGTCCTCTAAAACAACAGGGCGGTTGCTGCAGTCCAGCTCCAGCTTGACACACCTGCCTCACTGCCCCCTCTGGCTAAGCCCTCTGGCTCCTCACACCCCTCCCCCGATGCCCCTCCCCTCTAGCTATGTCCCCCACCCCACTTCCTACTCCTACCTCTCCAGCTATGAGCCCTGACCCATACCTGCCCAGCTCCTCCCTGCCCCCCATAACCTTTCTCCTCCAGCGGGCCTGCCCGCAAATCCCCGGGCCTGCCCCAGCGCTGCCCGGCCCTCTGGCCCAGGTAAGCATCTCCTAATTTTGTTCCAGAAGATAGAAAACTCTTCGTGGGCATGCTCAACAAGCAGCAGTCCGAGGACGACGTGCGCCGCCTTTTTGAGGCCTTTGGGAACATCGAGGAGTGCACCATCCTCCGTGGGCCCGACGGCAACAGCAAGGGTGCGCAGGAGCAGACCATGGGAGTGGGTGTGGGAGGGGCTAGTGGGCGTGGGAGGGGCTAGTGGGGCGTGGGAGCAGACTCTGGGAGTGGGGCGTGGGAGGGGGCTCTGAGTGGGGCGTGGGAGGGGGCTCTGGGAGTGGGGGGGGGGGAGGGGACTCTGGGAGTGAGGCTGGGGATGAGCTCTGGGATTGAGGGGTGGGAGCAGGCGTAGGGAGTGGGGTGTGTGAGGGGGCTAGTGGGGCGTGGGAGCAGGCTCTGGGAGTGGGGCGTGGGGGGATGTGCGAGGCTGTTTTTGCCGGAGGGTGGAGTTCAGAGCCCCCTTGAACTCAGGACTTGGGAGGATTGTGAGCCTGGGCGGGATTCTTGGAAAGAGAGGGGAGATAGTGCCTGGGGGTGTGTAAAGGCTCCCGACCAGAACAGGGTGGGTCGATTTAAAAGGACTTTTCAGTTTGGGCCTGCCCAGGTCTTTCCTGTTTTGTGTGGCTCTGGGTCTGCTCCTCTCTCAGTGTCTGTGTGTCGCCCATTCTGCTCTCATCTGGGATGCGCCCTCTCCCCTTTGGCCCTTCCCTCTTTGCCTCTAAGCCCTGCTTGTCTGGCCTTCCTCTGGGCCTTCAGTGGGTGACTCAGCCTCCTGTCCCCAGGATGCGCCTTTGTGAAGTACTCCTCTCACGCCGAGGCACAAGCTGCCATCAACGCTTTGCACGGCAGCCAGACCATGCCGGTGAGTGTGGGCACCCCTTGGGTGGGGGTTGGGGGGGACTGAGACAGAGAACTCCCCACCACCCCACACAACCCCTTAGGGCCCCTGCTCACCCTCTCATGAGGTCTATTCAGTGTCAAAGGCGCCCAGCTCCTGTTCTCTACTTGAAACAAGGAGGCATTACTGTTAGTCCCACTTCCCAAAGACACTGAGGCCCAAAGATGTTAAGGGACTAGCCTGAGGTCACTCAGAAAATGGCCCCAAGCCCTTAGGCAAATGCCAGTACCAAGATATCCTAACCCCCAGGTCCCCATACCACCCGGGGGGGGAGGGCAGGTGGGCCCAGGCCAGGGGCACAGGCAGTTGGGAGCCCAGGCAGCTGGGACATGGACCTCACGTGCAGCCTTTGTTGCAGGGAGCTTCATCCAGTCTGGTGGTCAAGTTCGCCGACACAGACAAGGAGCGCACGATGCGGCGAATGCAGCAGATGGCCGGCCAGATGGGCATGTTCAACCCCATGGCCATCCCCTTCGGGGCCTATGGCGCCTATGCACAGGCAGTAAGTGGGGGCGTAGTAGGGTGGGGAGAGGGTGGAGGGCAGCAGTTCTCCAGCTCACTCCCCACTGAGCCCTGGAGAGGAGCTGTGCTGACTGGGTCCTGTACACCTTTCCACACTGGGCAGCAAAGAGAGCTCGGAAAGTAACCTGAGGGTAGACGCCAGAGCGGTTAAGAGAAAGCTGGGACGGTTGCTAGGAGAAAGCAGGTTGCTGCCCCGGATCTTAAGGGGAGGAGCTGGAGAAGAAGACTCTAGGCAGGGCAACAAGGGCTGTCCCGAGCACTCTCCCGCCAGTTGACTCCTAAAATAACTGACTGGAAGGGAGACTGAGGTTTAGGTGTTTGGTTGCCACTTCCCCACCCCTGTCCCTGCTCACAGAAGTGTGTCCTCAGGGCCTTCCCTGGTGGTGCAGTGGGTTAAAGCACAGCACTAAGGAGTGTGTCCTCAGGCCTCCTGGTTACTCCCACAGGGGTCTTATGAGGTGCCCCAAGGCACTCCACACTTCCCCTACGCACTCCCCAGGCCTGCCTCAGACCACTGGCACGCTTTTTTCATTTGTGTTGGGGACCCTTCTGTCACAGCTCCCCTGAGCAGCCTCCCAGGTTGCAACCACACCCCCCTCCCAAGGGTGTAACCAAGGTAGGCCAGTGTTCAGCTTCTAACATTGCGAGCCCAGCTCCCTTATTGGACAGTGTCCACACATCCTGTTCAACCAGTCTCTCCAGTTAGACTCCACTCACTATTCTGAGAACTTTGAGGGTGACTTGAGTTCTATTTACAACTCTCCTATCACTTCTATCCCAAAAGACTCCAAGTGAGAACCATTTTGGACAGAAATTCAAGCCAAGTTAATTCTGCAGAGTCTCCTCCAACATGTCTATAGAAATTTAGGTGGCATTTCCATGAATAGGCCTATCATGAGGCTGACCAGCACACGTGGGACCAACCCCCTTCCCCCCACCACCACCTACAACAACTTTAGAGCCCCAAAGACCTGACCATTATTTTTAGATACAGTTCTCTCTCAGGGGGTGGTCTCTAGTAGCCACTGACAACAAGTAGCAGGGCTCTCTGGGGAAAAGCGTCTAAGCACCCTGGGATTCAGGCCTGGGATGTTGGCCTCCATTGCTGAACCCCTTGGTGGGGAGGGCTGCCCCCCTGGAAGTGCATGATATTTTTTCCACTCCCTCTGCCCCAGCTGATGCAGCAACAAGCGGCACTAATGGCATCAGTCGCGCAGGGCGGCTACCTGAACCCCATGGCTGCCTTCGCCGCCGCCCAGATGCAGCAGATGGCAGCCCTCAACATGAACGGCCTGGCGGCCGCACCCATGACCCCAACCTCAGGTGAGCTGGGGATGACCAGCCCAGGGCCTGGCCAAGCAGTAGAGCCACTCGACCCAGGCTGGGACTTTTGGCTACCAGTGGGCCATCCTGTGGCCAGAGCACGTGGTAGTTCGGCCTGAACAGCCCTGAGACTCTGGCAGTTTGTCTCAAACCTGTTTTAATCCCTGGGGACCCAAAGGAAAATTGAAAGTGTGTCCCATGCAGTCCATAATATGATTTCAGAGTGATGAGAATTTCACTCAAGGTGATTAGTCATGTCAATAAGCACTTCACCATGATCTTCATTGTAGCTATCTAGAAAGGAATTAACATGGAAGCATCTCCTTTTAAAGTCTGACGGGAGAAGAACCTTGCCCATTCTGTGTTCTTGTTTGGTCTCTGGCCCAAGCACAGAGGGAGACTCTTTTTTCCAACTGCATTTAGCCAGCTTAGGCTCACTGAATTTTTCCAAGATAGTTACACAAGCAAGAACCTAAGAATTAGCAAAGGATGGTAGGCTGGAAACAACCTTGCTCACAGAGCATGCTTTTTAGTTGGATCTTGACTATCGTCCAGTCCAGTCATTCTCAATTTTATCCTTTCCTTTCAATCTCAGCCCTCTCCCTTGACATCTGGCAATGTCTGGAGATATTTTTTAATTGTCACAAATGGGAGAGTGGAGTACTGCTGTAAGCTAGTAGATGCAAGCAACTATTAGCTCCCTGCAATGCACAGGACAATTCACCACAATGAAGAAATATCTGGTCCCAAATGTTAATAGTGTCAGTGTTGACCCTTGTCTAGTCCCAAGATCTGACCTGACACTCCAGGTTCTCATTCACCAAGTTTCCACGGTCCTCAGGCCATTATTTCAGCCTTCCTGATATCCAAAAGCTGTTTTGCGCCCCCCCCCCAGCCATAAAAGACTACCATCTCTAGATCCAATTTGAGCACCACTCCACAGCTCTGATCCCCAGCTTGGGGGATATTTCCAAGTCCAGAGTTAGGTCCTGTCCACAAAGAGAGCTTGCTTCCTGAAGAGAACAGGCCTTTCCAGTCTTGGGCATCAGTACAATCACCCTACCATCTATACCTTGGGTGCCATCTAGATGGCACAAGAAAGGCACAGGATATTGTCATCTGACCCAACTTTACCATCATTACAGTGATCATCACCACTGCCTCAACTGGAGGACACCAAGGTGACTACTTTTTGTATGGCTCTACAAAGGCCTCGCTCTCTCAGTGAAAGGGAATGCCAGAATTAAGACCTCCACTACCCAAGTAGCACAACTCCTTTGTGAGAAGGCAGATCAGCCATTCAGTAATCTAAAGGAAGAAAGCTGAACCAGCAAGTTAGAAATTCCTTCGTGGCTGAACAAGAACCAGCCCATGCTGACTTAGCTAGTATGAGCAAGAACTACTGAAAAAGACCAAAGGAAGATGAAAAATGATCCAAGTCAAGAACACTGAGAATAGTCTATGTACTATAGGTCCAAGATCGAGCAGTCAGTGGTCAGGAATGTCTTCATGGAGTAGGTGGGGTTTGGACTCTTTCTTAAAGGATGGATACAATTGGAATGGGTGGAGTTGCTCTTTGCATGAAGACATTCCAAGGCATTATTCACAGGTAGGATTTACTTGGTGTAGAAGTTCCAAGTCTATCCCAAGACCTTTGGAGTTTGCTGGGTGGAAGTGCCTCACCTTTGTTCTGCTTGACTCCCCTTTCTTCACCCTTCTCCACTTCTGGAATTAAGGTGGCAGCACCCCTCCGGGCATCACTGCACCAGCCGTGCCTAGCATCCCGTCCCCCATTGGGGTGAACGGCTTCACCGGCCTCCCCCCACAGGCCAATGGGCAGCCTGCTGCGGAAGCTGTGTTTGCCAATGGCATCCACCCCTACCCAGGTGAGCATGTCTATAAGCCCTTTCTTTCCCATGCAGCACACTCATCCACTGTCCCTGCCCTCACTCTTTTGACAGAGCGAGGCTCTGCTCTCCGCTCATTCCTTGGCAGAACCCTGAATGTGATCCAGAGGAGCCAGCCTCCTGTCCTCCCTGAAGGAGGTCCTTGTGGGATAAAGGAAATAAAACTTTCATCCTTGGGGAAGTGTCAGTCTGGTGTGTGAGCAAGAACACCATCCCTGGGGACTCCTCAGGACAGAAAAGAGTAGATACAGTTAGAGAACCAGGTAGAGAAATGTAATTGCAAGTTAATTGAGTGTGAATTTGACCCATAAGAAGTGAGGGGGTAGAAGGTAAATGATGAATCATATTTTCAATTAATGTAGGAAAAGCCTGTTTTGTGTAGGAAGTGGCAGTTTGTAAACTGGCATTCTACATATCAATTCAGTCTCATGGAGCAAAAACAAACAACAAACCCTGATCAGCACCTCGGACAGTTCCTGAATCTTCCTTTCAGGGAACAGTGGCGGCTTCAGAAGGCCTGCTTGTGATTCACTTTGGTCCTCTCAAACTTAGCACTTCTGTGGGGAGAGTGTCCAGTTGACTTGAAACTGCTCCTCTCTGATCTCAGGATGCATTAACATCAGAGCAAGAAGGTGGATCCAAACAAAGCTCAAGTGTAGACTAGCAAGAGGCAGAGGAAGCGTGCTATTCTCCTCCCCGGAGGGCAGATGGTGAGGTTACTCATGAGGTCCCTGTGAGTACTATTAAATGCCAAGTCTGTGCCATATTAAAGAGGATCCCCTAGGAGGAAGGCAAGACCTATCCCCCGAGAAGTCAAAATTCAGTCAGGAACAAAATATACAATGACAGAATGCTGACACAATTAGGCAGACCACAGTCTGATGGAGAGAGAATGCTAAAGGAATCAAGTGAAGGGCCAGTTGTGTTGGCTGAAGAAGCCCAGCAGAGCTTCCCCGATGGGGAGGCTCCAACCAGGCTTGACCAGATGGAGCGGTGATGATGACTAAGGAGCACATGTCTTTGCAGGGGCTGTCCTGGAGCCCGAGGCAGGAGGACCTGCCCGTCAGGGGCAGGGGGTGTAAAAAGTTTGGCCCCACTAAGGAAGAGGAGGTCAGCCTGGGGTATGTCAGCAGGGGCAGGGTGGGCAAAAGAGCACTCCCCACTTAGGTATCATCTGAATCCAGATGTGCAAAACCCACAAATGCCTGGAGACTTTGTTTGCCATGTCTGGAGTGAGGTCCAGACTTTCAGAATATAAACATCCCAGTGGCAGAGTACAAGGTCACTCTGCTGTAGAGCAGTAAAGGACAGTTTCCTGACTTTGAACTTTGAGTTGTTCTTGATCCCTTCCCAGTGCCCCACAGCTCACCCCTCGGTGCACAGAGAAGAGACTCTGGAAGCGTGGAGAGTGAAGTGGCAGGGCGCAGAGCGCCAGTCAGTAGTCTGAGGTAGAAGATGCTGGGATGTTAAGGGAGATAGTGGATGGAGCTTTCAAGCTAGAGGTCGAGAGACCCCACTGATCTCAGATTCCTGGGCTCCTCCTGCCTCAGGCTCATGGGCTGGGAGATACAGTCCCCAGCACATCTGGGTGGTTTCATTTCCCCCTCCTCCTTGCCCACAAGCCCATCTGGATCTCTGGATTTTGACAAACCTGTTCCCTCCCCACCCCCACTAGCATCTGTGAGCTGTTTCCCTCATCAAATTTGGAAATGTTTCTCTCCCCCATTTGTAACAATCTGCCACATCCCATAAACAATTCCCTGCCAGAGCAGGAGGGAGGGATAGAGGGAAGGAAAGGAGAAAAGTAGTACATTAAAAAAATTAATTTACCATCTTTAAATGCGGAGTTTGGAGCCGCTGTAATGAGCGAGATCCTTCAAAATGTTCACTCTTTGGCAGTTACTAATGAGGTCATTAAGCAGAGAAGTAGAGAGGGTCTCAGAGTGCTTTTCTCCACTTCCTAGCCCCAGGTAGCTTCTCCCTTCTCGCTGCTTGCTCACTGGGATCCTGTTGGAAGCATACAGTGGGCCTCTGCCATATGGCCCCCTGAGGGTGGGTCTCCCAGATGTCTGGGAGTCTTCATTCGCTGTGCGCGTTGCAGTTCCCCGGGCACTGCTGTGAGCCTGGCACTGTGCTCGGGCAGCTGCCATGGAAGCTGTGAGGGGATGTTTGCACAGGGCACCAAACGGCGTGTTCCCAGAAAGGGCCACCTTTTCCTAATTTGCACAAAAGCATATGAGTAACTGGGTAGACCAGAGGGCAGGCCCGTGTGGCTCTCCCTCCAGAGTTGAGGGTGGTGGGGGAGTAAGAAGACGACATCAGGAGGGAGGGGATACCACCCCACCAAGCATACCTGCACCTCACTGCTGGGAGTGCCAGTCTCTAAGGAATTGTGCCCCAGGATATTCCCAGGTTCTGAAACAGGGTGCTTTTGTGGTAGAATGCTATTGAGACTTTCAGGGGTGAGAGCTCAGAAGGGACATTTGGGGATTCTTCTAGTCTACAGAACTCTTTGCCTGGCACTGCCAGTTAGCTTGGCTAACCCGAGTCACCCAGCAGATAAGCTCAGATAGTTTTCTTTTTCTCACTTGTCCTCACCCACCTCCCTGGGCCTCCCAGACCAGCCCTCATGATGATCGTTGGCCTTGATCATCAAAGGCACCACTGACCCATGCTTCAGGGGTTTTGTCTGCAGTTTCTACAGACAGAGAAAGGAAGCAGAAGTGAACGGGGCCTTTGCCCCAGGCCAGCTGCCCCAGGTTTCTTGCCAGAGCACCAGCAGAAGGGTCCTCTCCTTGTACTAGACAGTGGATACCTTAGAGTCATGAGATCAGGTGGGAGGAAGGTTCTTCCTGGGTCTTGGGGTGCTTCAGTTTCTGTGGGGTCCACTCCTCTCTCAGCATGTGAAACAGATGAAACAGGTCTCAGTTTTGTGGCCAGTTCCTGCTGAGAGTGCACCAGGCATGGCCTAGAGTGAAAGGCCTCCATGCCTTGTGCCAACTGCCAAAGAATGAGGAAAGGGGCCCCTTTTTTCGAGCAGGCCTGTGTGCCCCAAGATGTCAGAATGGCAAGCTGAGGCCTCTGCTGCCCTTTTTCTCACCCAGTTTGGACCTGTCCCCCCATCCCCACACTTCTACTGAGATTAATGATAGAATCCTCCTGACAGCCTCTAGCCCACAGCCCTTCCCTAGGACCTGTCCCTCACGATCAGGCCCTTCCCTGGTGTCTCCTTCCAGCCTCTGCATGAACCACTCATGCAGCTGCAGCCTGCCTCCCCCTTTGGGCGACACCCTTCTCCCTACTTACTTTTTACCCTGGGATCGAGGTGGGGAGACCCCAACAGGGCCCAGGCACTCAGGGTTCCTGTGTCAGATGTCCCACACTAGGGTAGACACTACTATGGTCGAGAAGAGCCCGGCAGCCACAGTATCATCTCTGTGGGCAGGGTGGGGTTGGGGCCGGTTTGGGTGGGCACCACTGACCTCTGCCTCCTTGGCTCCCCTGCAGCGCAGAGCCCCACCGCCGCGGACCCCCTGCAGCAGGCCTACGCGGGAGTGCAGCAGTATGCAGGTCGTTAGTATCCGTGCGTCCCCATGGTCTCCCCACCCCTGGGCACCAGGGTCCCCTCCCCACTCCAGGCCCATGTGGGCTAGGGAAGCAACAGGGGGGAGGGTGTGGTGGGAGATGTGGTGGAAGGGGGGGAGGGCTATACTGGCAGAGACCCCGCCTGCCCACCCAAACAGCCTCCTTCTCTGCCAGCCCCCTAGTGTTCAGGCAGAGTGCACCCAACATGGCAGAGTGCTCTGGAGGTGGTTATAACATCAGATGAGTCAGGCAGTTGGTGACCCAGGCTGAGACTTTGACCTTGCTGTGAAGTTACCCCTCCTGGGAGCCAGTTTCCCTTCCCTGTGTTACCCCCAGGGCCGGTTTATCTAGGATCACACAGCACAGAACATGGGGGGGGGGGTCCCTGCAGTCCAGTCACTGACCAGGAAGCTAGATGCCTGGGTTTAAGCCCTGATGGGAAGCACCTCCCACTCCTGCCCCCACAGTCAGGACTCAGCCAGGAGGAGTGGGGATTGAGCAAAGATGATGTGAGATAAGCAGCCCGAGGTCATAAGAGAAAGAGGCAAAAAGAGTCTGGTGCTATCAAGTGGCTTTGCGTCACCGAGTGGGAAGGTCACTGCAGGGACCACGGAGGGCTGTCACCACGCCTCTCCCTCTTCCCCTGGAACTGGGTTGCATGCACACACATGCGCGTGCACACACACACACACACACACACACACACACACACACACCATGATCACCACCTCCCAGCTAGTATCCTGTCATCTAGCTGGTCAGGTTTCTTCCTCATTGGGCTTAGAATGTCCAGCAATGACTCTTCTCAGAGAGATGAGACTTTCTGGCCCTGTGGGGACTCAGGTGACATTGGCTTCTGACCCCTGGAGCCCACGGAAGCTCTTTCATCTTCTGGGTCCTCCACCCCCAAGCTCTCACCCCAGGTCCCACCCCTCTGGGAGCCCAGCCAGGCTGAGGAGGGGTCGCTGTTCCTGTCCCACCTCTGGCCCTTTCCAATGGAATACAAAGATGGAAGGTGTGTCCGACTCAGTGCTCTGCCCCCAGAGACCATCCGCTTGTGTGATCTCAGGACCAAGTCCACAGCCAGGGTGATGGCCCCCTGCCTCATGGAGCCACAGAGTGGGGGTGAGGGTGCGTGAGCCAGAGTCAGCCGTGACTCAGGGAAGGGGGTTCTGATGTCATGACTGACCTAGTCTAGGGCATTCTGATGGTTTTGATTAACTGCTACCATGGATTACCCACATCTGCGTGTTGGCCATTGTTCCAGATGAAACTCGCCTACACACACGCCTACTCGCACGCACACACACAGCTTCTGATCTTCACTGCCGCTTCTCCTGTATTACTGCTGAGATCTGGCTTTTTCTTAAGTGGCTGAGCTGAAATGCACTGTTTGGCTGGTCTGCTTTTACTGCTCAATACTGAAACTTCTCTCTTTCTTCCTGCCTCTCGCCCTGTCTCTCTCCATGCCACTGTCACCGCCTCTCGCTCTTGCCTCTACTCTTTGGCCCTCCAGCAGCTGCCTACCCTGCTGCCTATGGTCAGATAAGCCAGGCCTTTCCTCAGCCACCTCCAATGATCCCCCAGCAACAGAGAGAAGGTGAGTCTTCAAGCCGGGGCTCCCAGGCCCCTCCCTATTCCCAACTCTCCCCAAAAAGGCTGGTCACCTGGGCCTTTGGCTGGGGCGTTTCCTTGGAAAGATGACCACAGTTGTGTGTTGTGTTGAGGGCGAGGGAAGAAAACAGGGCTGTGAAGCGGGGCATGTTCCCCTCGAAGCTCAGTGCTTCACTTTTCATGGGCAGCTCTGCAAAGCAGAGGGGCAGGAGGTCAGGAAGGCAGGTCCTAGGACAGGTGGGGCTCGCAAATACCCCTCCACGATGGGCGGGCTTTGCTGGTGAAGATGGGGAGCTAGGGAAGGCTACGAATTGACAGAAGTTGCGCCCTCTGGTGGCCAGGAGCGAGTGGTATTCCCAGGGCAGGCAGGGCTCCGTGCCCTGAGGTCATTCGAGGCTGCAGGACAGGCTAGTGGGGAAGGGCTGTCTGGAAAGCTATGGCCAGATGCCTTGGTGTTAAACAGGGCCAGGCAAAGCCTCGTAAAGACCCTCATGTCCTCCCATTCCAGAGCCCAGAGACGACGGTTGCTATAAGCCCACCTCAGACATTCTGTGACCCTGCTCGTAGTAAGCTCAGTTTGAGGAAGAAAGGCAGCAACACTGACAAGGCCCTGTGCTCCCCACCTCCATGAAAAGGTCCCCCTGCCAGTGAAGTCTCCCTCTAATCCCATGGCCAGGGGCTGCCAATAGCCTCTAAATACTGGTTCTTAACCACTGCAGCAAACTGTCCCAGAACTGTGGGATATAGGTTGGTTTTGAAAAGGACCTTGAGGGTTGTTGGGCTAAACCCATTTGATCAGACCTTGAACAGGCCCGGAGCCCTGGGTGCCTGAGAGCTGGGCTTTTCAGCAAACTTGTCTGGGTCTGACTCCCAGCTCAGCCGCCAACACCTCTCTCAGCCTCGATGTGCTCATCTGCAAAGTGAGGACAGAGGTATCCATCCCCTGGCGGGCCGCGTGGATGAAACTAACTTGAGTCCACCTACTGGACCTTGTCGTTGCTCTTGGATTTCTCACTGTGTATGTGGCCTTTAACAATTGTCACCCCTCCAAAGTCATACACGAGGCATATCACCCCACTTTATACACACTAGGAAGCTCCTGAGATCTGCTTCTCCCCATGGCTAGGAAAACCAAGCTATAGGAACCCTGAGGGTGCACAGTGGGACCCCTGCCCACACCTGTGGTCACTTCCTTCTGCTCCTCTGGCCCCCGAGCCCACCATCTGTGTATCAGCCAACCTCCACCAGCGTGTCCCCTACTGTCCTCTTACTGCGACATTCTGGCCCTGGAGCCTGACCTGCCCCAGCTCTCTCCCCACAAACCAAGCCTGCACTCAGAACAGAGCCCCAAGAAGTGGGGTCTAAGAGTCTCAGTGTTGCCCACCCCACACCCACCTCAGAGTTGTGTCTGCTGTGCCTAGAGGCCCTCCTAATTTTGTCACCCCACAAGCTTAAGGCTGCTCACCCTCAGCCTTAGTCAATATCCTGCATGACTCTGACCTGGGCTCACTGGTCTCCAAACCCTGCCCCCCTTGTCCCCAACTCATACACACATGATTACAAACAGAGCTACAGGTCAGTGCTGCCCTGACTGACACATGTGACAATGTGACAGCCCCGACCTCTAGCCTTCAGCTCAGGCCCTCCACCTGCCCCCCAGCCCTCCCCACCCAGACTGTCCCACCCCACTGGTCCTTCTTACACTTCTCTCCATCTCTGAGCAGCTGTAACCCACCCACCCCCATGCCCTGCTTCGTGGGCCAGACCCGTGACCTGTTCCTCTAGGTGTGGGGTTCCCCTGCTCTTGCCCCCGTTCCCTCTGACTGTGGTGCACAGGATGAGCCATCCTGGGGAGTCAGGTCTGGAAGGGGTGCTCCGTGACTCCAGTTATCCACAGAACCACATGGAGTGAGGATGAGCTCATGGTGCTGGGAGTGGGACCATCAGGGAGACTTTGGGGTCCTGACGGGTTAGGTTTCTAGCATGTGGAGAGGGAAAGAAGGGATTCCAGGCAGGAGAACAGGCGAAAGGCATGATGCTGCCTGGGGCCAGGGGAGACAGCCTGAGGGTGGGCTGGGGCCAGGCAGTGCTCAGCCTAGGACATGAGGATAGCAAGAGAGAAGAGGCTCCCCTAACCACGCTAGTTGGCCTCCTGGTGCGATGCCGTTGAACTACCAGGACATACGGCCTTGTGGGGAGACCCACTGTCCAGCTCCTCATTTTTAAGCTGAGCCTACAAACCAACAGATGCCTGGATCCCACAGTCGGGGTGGGTGAGGTTACCTCAGGGATGGTCCAGTCTTGGTTCTGGCAGGGGCTGTAGTGTGGTCAAGGTAGTCGCATTCTGTCTCTGGAGCTGTTTCCCCATTTCTCAGGAGGCCGGGACCAGATTACCTGTAAAGTCCTGCCTTCTGGACCTTCTGGATGCTCTGTGACCGTGAATGAGGGAATGCAGTGAAACCGGGTAGTCATGTGGGATGGGTAGACTCACTGTTGAGGGGGAGGGGCAGGGGATGGGCTAGAGCTGAGAGAGCTGCCTGTCACATGCTGTGTTGGGCCTGGGCCTAGAGACCCTGTCCTCCAAGGCCCCTGGTTGCTTTAAGAACAGGCTAAATGCCCTCTTAAAGCACCTCTCAGAACCTGAACTCAGAGGAGGGCCCCATATAGAAGGCAGGTGTCAGCATGGAGTGGAGGGACGGAGCAGGGAAGCCCAAAGAACTAAGGTGGGAGGAGGAGGGAAGGCATGCACTGGGGTGGGGGGCAGGGGTCAAGGAGGCGAATGCCCTAGGTGCTGTCTGACTGGAAAGAAAACTTCCCAGGCTGGGAGAAAGAGCCCCAGAATAGATTACAGACTATGGACTCAGGAAGCGTGGAAGGGAGAGGAGAGGATGTAGGGAGTCTCTGGCAGTGGGTCCTGCCAGCAGCTTCCTGCTCCAAGGAGAGTCCTCTAGAACAGGACACAGGGAGAACACCACTGGGGGAAACTACTGAGAGGGGAAACCCACCGGCACTTGGGGATCCAGAAGTGTGGACCCCTGGAAATATGTGAGGAAGCATGCTTGCGCCGGTTCTGAACGCGCCGTCAGCTGACACTTGGCCTGGGAGACAGTCCAGGGAGGCCGTAGGAGCTGGGGACAGAAGGTGGGCAGTGAAGGACCCAAGACGTCAGAGCTGAGAGGGCAGCTTCGTGGTGGGAGGAGTCTTGCTATTGGCTGTGAACCTCTAAGGGCTGAGGTACATGGCAGGAGGAGAGAGGGGAGTCGAAGGGGAGAGAAGAGGAGAGAAGGTCAGAGACTCCAAAGCCAGCTCTTGGCTCCCGGAAATGGGTTATCTGACAGAGATGGCAGCTGGTTCTGGCTGTGAAAGCCCACATGGGTGTCCTACAGCCTTCACTGTGACGCTCATGCCTAGTTCCCACCTGTCTCTGATGAGCACCTCAGTTCTTGCTCACCTCTAACAATTCCAGCAATTCTCCCTGCACGTCTTTGTAAGCTGAACACCATCACTGAAACGACCACACTTTACAAGGTTAAATTACAGGGTTGAATTACTCCATTTCAGATGGCAGGAGATAAAGCAACTCGGAAAGATTTCTATTTGAAAGAGTTAAAATTGGACATTTTGGTCATTTGAAAAGGAAAATCGTAAATCTTTAGCTGTTGGGAATTTCAGGACCCCAAAGATCACAACAGTATGCAGGGGCTCTATGGCACTGGGACTTACGGGAGAGGGAGAGGAGAACAGACTATGGAGACAGGTGGCTTGGGTTCCTATCCTGCTCCCCACCCGCCCCCCACTAGTGCGTGACTTTTGGCAGGTGACTTAACCTCTCTGGGCCTCAGTTTCCTTATCTGTGAAGTGGGGATGACACTAGCACTTGCCTCACAAGACTGCTGCAAGGAGAAAGTGAAAGAACATATCTACAAAATGCTTAGAGCCACCTGACCTGTCGTTCATGCCGTGGGAATGGCAGGGCTGTGTTGTTGCATGAGGTGGGGAGCCATTCTCGTAACAGGGCTGGCAGGTACCCTGGCGAATCGTGGAGCCTGGCTGTCTTGCTCCTCCTGCATACCTAGTGGCTGGAGGAGGCAGTACAAATTTTGGTTTCTGCCCTCCTGACCAGGGCTGAGTTTCAACAATCAGGAGAGGAGAGTGGAGCGTTTGGGGACCAGATGAGAAGCAGTGGCTACAGACTGGGGAGGAGAGTGGGCCATCCACCACCCCTTGGGGGTTCCAGGCCCCAGAAAGCCAGCTGGGCCTGGGGGAGGTGAAGTTTCCCACCAGCAGAGTGGCTGCCTCACTGCACCTCCCTCATCCTCCCCAAGCAGAGGCTGGCGGCCTTCCTAGGTCTTACCCTGCTTCTCCTCCGCACCTCATGTCCAAGGTTGATCAAGCCTTGACTTCACCTCATTCACTCACCTACCCCTCCCTGGAGCCTCAGAGTTGCCAGGCACGCTGGGACAGACCCATTTTGCAGAAGAGGCTACGGAGGCACAGAGAGGTTCAGTGACTTGCTCAAGGGCAGAGCTGAGACCAGAGCTCAGACCCCGGGCCATCCGTCTTCCGTGACGCCTTTGAATCTTGGATGAGACCTCCCCTCCTAACCTTGCCCCTACCTCTCCCTGCTGCCGCTGCCTAACTCGCTCACCTCTCCTCTGTCTCTCTCTTCCCCCACCCCGCCATCCCGCCTCCCCCGACCCACCCCTCCCCCCACCGCAGGGCCCGAGGGCTGTAACCTGTTCATCTACCATCTGCCCCAGGAGTTTGGGGACGCTGAGCTGATGCAGATGTTCCTCCCTTTCGGTAATGTCATCTCCTCGAAAGTGTTTGTGGATCGGGCGACTAACCAAAGTAAATGCTTTGGTGGGTAAAGATAACAAACCAACTAGCTTCACCTAGGACAGGGCAGTGCTCGCACCTATTTACTGGTGTCCAACTCTTTAACCTGCTTCCTCACACCGCCCCACCCCAGAAGCTCCCTAAGCTCCCCATGGCCCCACCTCCAACCTCTTCCTCTCACCCCTCTTCTCTCTTCTGAGCCTTTGGCTTCTTGGCTTTCCCTGCTCACCCACCCCTCTCCCCAACTTCCCCCTCCCAGTCCCAGAGATAGGTTTTGCTCACTGCCAAAAGGCCCGATTCCCAAGACTGAAAAGGAGGAGGGGCCTTCTTGGGCAGGGGTGGAGGGGGCAGGGAGCCAGTCCAGTTTCTCCCAGGTCACAGTAGCCCTGGGCTAAGCATGACCCTTGGGTTGGGAGGGCTGCTGAGGCCCCTACCTGCCTGCCCCTTGGCCTCCTCCATCCACCTCTCTGTCCTGTCCCCTACCTCCTTTTCTGTTTACCCTGCTCTTCGCTACCCTCCTGCCATCCAATGAGCCTCCTTCCCCACCCACACCCCTCAGGCCACCAGAGCCACATTGCCCAGGAGTCAGGAAGAGGAAACATCTCTGTCCTCAGGAAGCCTCAGGTCTGAGCTTAGGTAAAAATCGCAAGCACTCTGCAGTGAAATCTATGAGGCACTGAGTGCTGAGAAAGGCAGGTGGCTGTAAATAGGCATACAGGAAGGGGAGGGAGTTCCAGGCAGGGAGCATGCAGTGCACCAGGGCCTGGGGTTGGAAAGAGAAGAGCCCAAGTCAGTGAATGAGGAAGCAGGAGGCTCTGGGGAGAAAAGAGCAGAGAGGGGAGACCTGTGGTGAGGGAGGGTTTCTGCTGGGAGTGTTTTGACCACAAAGATGAGGATGATTCCATTGGTATAGGAGACAGTGGAAGACGTTGGCAGGTCCTTGAGCTGAGAGTAATAGAATGAAGATAAAGTTTTCAAGAAACTTGCCTGGTGACAGGGTGTTAGATGGGCGAGGGAAATGGGGATATGAACAGATCAATTACAGGAAGCCCAGTTAAACTAGAATTTCAGATGAGCATTGGTACATATTTAGTGTAAGTACATCCCAAATGTCATCTAGAGTTGGGATCTGCTCGTGCTAAAAAGTATTCTTTGTTTATTAGAAATCCCACCTTAAATGTTACTCTGTGTTTTGATTGTTTGAGACCTCCCACTTCATCCCCACATGTCTCCAGCCCACTCCACTGCCACAGCCCCTCTCCCACCTCGGCCACCCCCATCAGTCCTACCTTCTGAGGCCAGATCTGTTCATGAGTCCCCAAGGAATGAGGACTCGAGTCCCCAAAGAGCCACACACGGAACCAGAGCCGAGTCTGCTGGAAGCTGAGTATCTCCAGATTGGCCCCCAGATTCCGGGGCTGTAAGGACAGAGTAAGAGTCTCTATTGACCAGGTTACAGCTTCGGGCTAGGCTAGGGGGAAGGCAGACAAGTGGACAGGCCTCGGGAAGCTATTGTTACAGAGGTACTGTTTGGAGACCTCCTGGAACACTTACCTTCCAGAACCACAAAGAGCTTGAGATTTCAGCCTGCTCCCCTAGTATTCAAAACTTCTGTACCCCAGGACCTTGGCAGCTGCCACAGGAAACTTGTGGCACCCACTGGCTTTGCTGCCCCAGCAGTTCATTTCTCTTTAGTTGACAAACCCAAAAGCCAAGGTTGCACCCTCCACTGTTTCCCATGACCATATGTATATGTAAAACAATAAACTGGAGAGCATGCTCATTGACTCTATAAGCACAGATGTTACGCAAACAGAAGTCTGCTAAAAGCCCAGAGAGGCCTGAGCCCCTTGGACAGACTCAGCTCCCGACACATCTCTCTGTATCTGTGCTGCCCTGGTATAGGAACAGCCAGTTTTTCCAAGCCATCCACTTTGAGTCAGCCTCAAGCATATCCAAACATTGCCATAAGCCCATTTAAGTTCTTTCAGACCAAGGGTTTTCCTCTACTTGTTCTAGAAAGCTCTATTTACCTCTACTCTTTTCTCTCTTCTTGAACAAACTAGTGCCAAACACCTGCTGGCTTGAAGAAAAGGACAGGTTGCTATGATGGCCTGTCCCTGCTGCTTCTCTTTAAGCTGCTTAGGTGTGTGTGTTCTCTGTCTCTCTCCCCCTCCACTCCCCTTCCAGACACCTTCAGCAAAACAACAAACCTGAGCACTCACTTCACTCATGAGCAAGTTGTTGAATTCTCTGAGCCTCAGTGTCCTCATCTGTGAAATGGGGAGTCCAGCAGGCATCCCTCAGGGGTACTGCATTGGTACATCAGATGCTGTATGTGAGGAGATTGGCCAGAGCAGACACTTGGGAAGTGCTTAAATCCCTTTATTACACAAAGGAAGGGCTGTTTTTGCCATGACAGTGGTCCCCAGTGATCCTTTCAAGGGCCCCACTCAAGTTTATCAGCATAAATGGACTCTCCCAAGGTCCTGTGAGCATATGTGCTGCACAAATGGTGGCCACTCTGGCAGAAGGACCAAGGCGACACCATCCTACCTGCCTGGTTTCCCTTGGTGTGGGAGGCAGGAACTCTTTGGAAGGGGGGAGCACCAGAGGGGAGGAGGCTCTGGGCAGGGGTGGGGGGTGAGGACAGCCTCGGAAACTGTCAACATGGTGGGGTACCCACTCTGTGGGCTACCCTGACTGCTCTATGGCTAAGAAAGCTAGCAGAGGAAGACTTTCCTGGAGTTTCAACTTCCCAACTTGGGGCTTCTGAAGAACCTAAAATGGTCCACAAAGTCTGAGTTTTTCCCTCCTTTAAGACACCCTCTTCCTACTCTCCACACTGAGTGCTGTTCCCTCCTTTTACCTCACTCTAGAAAGCATCTTCAGCCTGCTTTTCTTTCTGCCATCTCCTTCCTGTTTTGCTCACATAGTCGAAGAGGGAGCAGCATCACCTGTCACATACAGGATATCTTGTCCTTTGTCCCTGCAGGAAGAGACTTTAGTTCAAACACCTTCCTCAGTCTTGGGGAGAGCAGGGTAACAGATGCACACGTCACACATTTGGAAACCCCTCTGCACTACTAAGACTTGAGGGAGGTACAGGTGGGAGGGTTGGGGTGGGGTGTGATGGGCCAGAAGGGAGTGAGAGGGGACTGTGGAAGGATGAGTCATGCTAACCTCCAACTATGGATAACCATGAATCACCCCTGTCTGCGTTGGCATAGACATTTCAGCATCTGGACTTATCCAGGTGTTGGTTGTTTGCTCTGGGCCTAGTTCTACCTGTCCCATCCATGCTCGTGGGCAGACACTGTTGAATACACTCACCTGCACCCACACTCCACTCCGCCCCCCCCATCTTTAATGACCTGTGGCTGTGCAGGAAGGAGATGGGAGGAAGAAGAGGCCAGAAGCCAGATGGAGGCAGCATGGGGCCAGAGGTAAAAAGGGAGAGAGGACCACATGTGGAGAGATCCCAGGCAGGCCTTAGAAGTCAGGAACAATTAACCAAGATAACAGGTTCTGCTTTAGTGGGGGGTCTGCACATCCATGCCTTAGAGATCTAATGGCTGTTTCAGGACAAGCACCCCAAGTAGGCTTGTTTACTGCACAACCTGGGAATCTCACCTAGCTTAGTTTTGTAGCTTTTGTAGGCTCAAAGTCCATTTTACAGAAGAAAAGGCCTCGAAAGTCAAATAAATTCCAGGAAATGCAAGGTTAAATAAACAAAGCTATAAAGATTTATTAACTGGAGAAATGGGGTGGGGGAGTGTTTTTATTTGTTAATGTGTCTTGAACTGTCTCTGGGGGCCTGGTTGTAAGCCATTTGACCTCAAATGCCCCTCTCCTAAGGAGCAACTCCCATGCCAGTCGGTTTGGGGAATGTTGATGTTAAGTGTAGCCTCTCTAAGGTGATGCATAGTTTCAGAAGGCTGACAGCGAGCCCTGGTTCTCTGTCCTGTCCTGGATTGTTTGGGGTGGGGGGTGGCTGGTGAACCTGTGAAAGCACTTCAGGAGACCATGGTATATGGAGAAGGAGCTCAACTAATTTTTACAAATAGTGTCTATTTGTGCTGCTGTCACTGCAACCACCTTAGTGGACACATCCACAGATGTGTGCTCCGGGAGGGCAAAGAGCGCCTGCTCCCAGGGCTTGGATTTTACAGGAGTAAAGGGGAGGTGACGACAGCCCCCGGGTGGGTTCCTGCGAGTCGGTACAGCTGTACCCCAGAGTCCACCAGGAGCCTGGCTGGAATTCAGCCTCGGCAGGGACCGGGAGGGGGGCGGAGGGGCCGCGAGGACTCAGCCCCTGGCCCTCCCCGGCCGCCAGGAGGCACTCGCGAGGGAGGGCGGCCGGAAACGGCGCTGGAGAGGTTTTCTCCGAGGTGCCTCCCCTCCCTCCCCCTCGCATTCCTCTCTCTCCCCAGGCCGGCACCCTGTGCCCTCCCGCTGCCAGGCCCCCTCCTGTCAGGGAGGACAGTGTCCAATAAACTCCTCCACCCGCAGGTGTGTCCGCCCTCTCCCACCGAAGGAGAGGGCTGAGGTGCCGGGGCCGGCCGGGGTGGGGGGGCGGGTGCC